AAAAAAATTTTTTTTTTAAAGATGCTACAAGGGACACAAGCCAAGTAAGATGCAGTTCCTACGGCAACGTCTAGACACTTAGAATCTAAAGGGTAAGACAAGTAAGGCTCAGGTTGACACTAGCAAGACCATCTTGATACAAAGGTACTGGAAGAAAAGAATGGCCGAGGGAGGCTGACCTGAACCTTTTGCTCTCTGGGTCACGCTGGCAGCTAGGGCATATAAAAAATAAATAAATAAAAAGGTAAGACAAAAATGCAACCAGAGGTAAAACAGGGCATCAGAGAAAAAGTGTCTAGTAAGCTAGGAGCCCATCCAGCTGGGGAGACAAGGACAAGGTCTATGTAGGCAGTGACTTGAAGTAAGTTCTAACAGATAGGAACATTCTGACCACTCATGATGGTGTGGGGTGGGGATGGAGGAGGAGCTGGGTGCAACAGCCCAGTCCCGAGTGTATCAGAAGAGCAACGGTGAGTCATTTGAAGGAAAGACCTGTGAAGTCCGATTCCGGATGCCAGGCTGAGACGTCTGTGCCAAATTCCTTCGGAGACAACGGGAAACCACTGAACACTTGGAGCAGGGCAAGCCAAACATCCATGTTGTAGTAGGAAAGTCGTATTCAGGGCTGGGACTCAAGAAATCTGAGATTTGGAACATTCTGAGGCTCTAACTGTGTGACCCTTGGACAAAATATCATTCTCTGGCCCTCAGTTAAGATAACCAGAAAGGAGAGCGGTTTGGCAGGCAGTTAGTTCGCGCCAAGCACCCAAGTAAGAACTTAATATGCATTGTCTTCCTTTTTTTTTTCTGGTGCGTGCCCCTAGCGGAACCGAACCATGGGCTACTGACTCTCTGGTCCAGGGCCCACGCTCCCACCGCTGAGCCAAACCAGGGCTGCACTGTCTTCTAATTCCCGCAGCAAGCCCGGTTCAGTAGGTACGATTACTGGGCCTCCACTCTACAAGGGGACCTAACGGCACGGCGAGGCTCCACTCGGACGGGGAGAGTAAGGAGGACTCCTAGCCGGGTCTCGGCTGGAAGACCTTCACAGGTCACATTGGTGTCCGCGAGGCTACCAAGCAGGTGACTGGAGAAAGTGACAGGTGAGCAGACACGGGAAGCGGCGGAAGGCAGAGAAGTCGAGTCAGGGAGAGAAAACGAGTCACTCTGCCCAGGACACCACGGAAACGGTCGCTACTCCTTTCGGGACCAGGGACTCGCGGAGTGACCTTGGGCAAGTCACGCCCAGCGCGCCGGCGTCCTGCCCCAGGTCTGCGGGGCCGGCTGGCGGCTCTCGACGGCCTCCTGCACCAGGCCCGCGGCGGCCCAGCGCGGGGGCGCTGCCGGCGGAGCGCCCGGCCCCGTCCCGCGGGGGCTTCCGGGCCACGCTGCCCGTGGAGCCCCTGCACGGGGGACCCCCGGGAGCAGCTGCGAGAGCGTCCCCCCGCGGCGCCCGCCCCGAGGTCACACAGCCTGCTGGGCCTCTTGCCCGGGCGTGCACCGTCCCCATAGCGCCCTCTCCGCCTGCCGCCTCGCACAGCTGCTCGGGTCCAAACCATGGCTCGGCTGCTGGGGCAGAGGCGGCCGCGCAGCGGAGCTACGGGTCCGCGACCCACTCACAAGCCCTCGGACGGACGCGGGCGCGCTGGGGGCGGCCATGATGCCCCGCCTTAGCCCCGCCCCGTGGCCATGAGCGTCGTCATTGGGATTTTCCTGAACCCGGATGTTTCACGTGGTATCGGGACTCTGAGGTCTGGGAAGGCGCAAGCGCAGAGCATCCGAGGAGACTCGAAGCTGTGTTCGTAGATCGCGGTTCTGCGCGAGTCTCGTAATAGCACGTGTACGAGTTGTCCTGAGAGAACACGCCCGCGGGGGTGAGCGGGGGTCCCCCAGGTCTCTTCAGAACATTCTGGTACCCAACCAGTGTGGGGTGTGTGTAGGTGGAGGGAGGGTGGTTCCCCACGCTCGTGCAGAGCGCGAGGCGACCAGTGTGTGTGGGGGGGGAGGGGGTGTAGTCCCCACACTCGGCAGAGTCCAGGGCAGACCAGTGTATTGGGGGGGGGGGGTTATCACCACACTCGTGCAGAGCGCGAGGCAGACCATGTGTGTTGGGGAGGTGGAGGGGGGTTAGTCCAACTCGTGCAGAGCGCGAGGCAGACAGTGGTGGTGTGGGGGGGGTGAGGCGGGTTGTAGTCCCACACTCGTGCAGAGCGCCGAGGCAGACCAGGGTGTGTGTGGGGGGAGGGGGGTGTAGTCCCAACAATCGTGCACGGCCGAGCAGACAGTGTGTGTGTGGGGGGGAGGGGGGTGTAGTCCAACAATCGTGCAGCGCGCGAGGCCGTCCAGTGTGTGTGTGGGGGAGGGGGGTGTGCCCCACGCTCAGTGCAGAGCGCGAGACCTCCACACCGGCGGTCGCGGTGGATGATTGCGCCCCGTGCCCCTCCTGCTGACCCCACGCACCTTTTCAAGTCGCTGAAACCCCCTAAGCCTCAGTCTTCCATTGGCAAAATGAAGGTATGGTCTATCTACTCAAAGGGTGGAATTATACGGCTCATGCATGGAGATGGAATGTAAAACCCCTGGCCCTGGCCGGTTTGGCTCAGCGGTGGAGCGAGGCACTGCGTACAGAGGACCCTGGTTCCTTCCCGCAAGGGCATATACCTCGGTGCAGTTTGTCGCCGTCCCTGTTGGTCTTGCGGGTGGCAGCCACTCGATGTGTCCCCTTCACATCGATGTTTCTCTCTCTCTTTCCTCTCTCTCCTTCCCGCTCTATCGGAACCAAAATGGAAAAAATGTCCTCGGGTGAGGATAAAAAAAAAAACAAAAAAAACCCACAACGCCTGGCCCTGTGCAGGGTACACACTGAGAGGTGGGTAAGTGACCATTATTCATTCAGTGGCAACCAGTACATATTAGAGGGTCATCCAGGGGTTCGGATGCGGCCATTTCACATGGAGCAACAAGAGTGCCCTCCCGGCCTCATTTCGGTGGTGGAAACAGCCCCTCCCCTGAAAAACATTGTAATAAATAATAGTTGCACAATGTGACAAGTGCAAAGAATGAGAGAGGCCCCCCCCAGTCGATCCTGCCTTATTCACTGCTGTATCCCCAGGGCTCAGTGCAGCGCTGGCTCAGTATATAATTGGGGCCCACATAGCCCTCAAGACCCAGCCCACACCTGGCCATGCTGTCCAAAAGAGTTAGCCCCCAACCCCACTGTCACTGAGTGTCCCCACCCCCAGCAGTGTTTCTCTCAGTCCTGAGAACATGCCAGAGACCCTGTGGAATAATTGTTAAAGATGCACCTTCCTGGGCCTCAGCGCTGACCTGCTGTAGCAGAATCTCTGGACATCGGAATTTTAAAGCAGTATGTCCGGTCATTCTTTGCCCACCAGGTTTAAGAACCCCTTGTTGCAACATTCATGGATTCCATGTCTTTCTTCACTAGCCTCAAAGGACTTTGAAACCGCGGGTCTTAGCCTGCTTATGCAGACCCTTGTCAGAAGTCTTGGAAAAGGAGCAGAGCAGCAGGGGAGGGAGGGGAGGATGAGGCAGGGCATCAGCAGCTGGGGGCCAAGGATACAGGTGCTACAAGGCAGGCAGGACAGCCTCCCAAAAAGGAGGACGGGCCTCCCAAGAAAGGAGGACGAGCCTCCCAAGAAAGGAGGACGGGCCTCCCAAGAAAGGAGGACGAGCCTCCCAAGAAAGGAGGACGGGCCTCCCAAGGAGGGGCCGGGCCTGGTGGGGAGGCTTCTGGGTCTGGGCACGGACTCGAGGCAGAAGAGCATATGCTTGGGGCTGGTGGCAGAATGGGCCCATCATTAGCTGTGTAATCTCAGGCAGGTCACAACCTCTCTAAGGGTCCATTTCCTCCACTGAAATAATGGGACGGGATTGCTAAGGACCCTGCCAGTTCCATGAACGATTTTTAAACTGGGTTAATAGTTCACGCTAGGAAGTAATAGGCCCTGGGCATTCCAGGCTTTTAAGCCCATTTGGGATATCCACTTACCAGGGGGTCCGAAACCCCGGATTAGCCCCCGTTTAATTACAATAACGGCTCTGTGACAGCCGGCTGCGCTTCAGTCACGATTCGCCTTACCAATTCCAAGCTGTGCGGCCTTCAGCATGGCACAGACCTCCCTGGGTCAGTTTCCTCTTTTGTAGAGTAGGGATAGTAACAGTATGTACCTCATAGGATTGCCTTGAGGGTTTAACAAATTAATGGATGTAAAGCTGTGCCCAGCCCAGAGCCACCGCCAAGGACTGACTGTGTAGCTGCGGCAGGGATGGTGCTAAGCGCTTTTCATGAACCATCCCAGTAGGTGGCCTCTTACAGGAGATGAAATAGGCTCAGAGAGACTAACACCCTCAGTCCAACAGAGACCCGAACACAGGACAGTCTGATGTGGTCTCACGTTCGTGGCCACGCCCACACAGCCCCAGGGACTGGAGTGGGTGACAGGTAAAGTGGATGACCGTTCAGAAGCTTCCCAGTTTTTTATTTTCTTTATTGGTTTGAGAGAGAGGAAGGGAGAGAAAGAGAAACATCGATGAGAGAACATGGGTTGGCTGCCTCCTGCACGCCCCCCCCCCCCTGGGGATTTGGCCCACCACCTGGGCATGTGCCCGGAGCAGAAATGGAACCAGCAGCCTCCCGGTGCGTGGGTTGACGCCGAATCACTGAGCTACACCGGCTGGGCCTGTCCATTGTTTTTAAATTTTTTATTTATTAATTTTTGTTACAGATGTTTCTCATTTTCCCCTTATTGACACCCTCCTTCCCCTCCCCCCCATTTCTGCTATTTTTAAAGGAGGACCTAGAGCGCACTAACAGGCTACAACCACCAGGTGGCCCTGTGAAGAAAAGTATTGAATGTGGCCCAGTTGTTACCTGGCAGGACTCAGGGCCTTGGCTCAGTGCCCACAGGCTTAGCTTCTGGGACCCAAGAAACCTGCCCCTGGCCACCAAAGTAAATCTCTGGAGGTCTCCCTCACCCCTGGCTCAGACTTAAAAGGCTATTTTAGGTGTGAAAACTGGGACAGAGATTATCAAAGATATCATTCTAGGAGACTGAGAAAACTAAGCACGGGTCACACAAACTGGACACTAACTTGAACTGGATTCTGCCAGGCCCCTCATCCTCAGTTTCCCCATCTGTACAATGAGGATGATAGCCGTTCCTAAGGCATAAAGGGAGAGGAGGAGTTAGTGAGATAAAGCATGGGGCCTGCGCACCATAAACACTGAATAGAGGCAGGTTTTCTTCCTGCATTTCTTCGTTAGTGTCAAGCAAGCCTCTTCCCCAAGGTAACCCGTGAGGTTAACCTGCAGATCGCAGGAGCCATGAGCCAAAGATTTGCGAGCCTGTTGTACACAGGGCACTGGGCCAGAGTGACAGAGAATCCATCAGGAACACAAAGTCACAGCTTTACCCTCAAACACTGTCTATGACAGTCACAATGTCCATTCATATTTTAAAGGCTCTGAGGCCCTGGCCTGTTTGGCTCAGCAGTAGAGCGTCGGCCCATGGATCAATGAGACCCGGGTTCGATTCCGGCCAAGGGCACATACCTCGGTTGCAGTTGGTCCCCAGCCTTGGTTAGGGTCGTGCAGGAGGCAACCATTCGATGTGTCCCTCTCACATCGATGTTTTCCTCTCTCCCTTTCTTTCCCTCTCGCTCCCTCCCACTCTATCTGAAGATAAATGGAAAAATAACCTTGGGTGAGGATTGAAAAGAAAGGCTCTGAGAAGTCCTGCAGTACATAACACCTATTTCCCTTTCTTTAACCCCGTATTTCCTGACTATATTGGTCCACAACGGCCTTGCGGGTTTTGTTTTCGAGGCTTTCTGTGGCCTTGGGCGGTAGGTCCCCAGCACGCCCAGTGATCCTCTTTGGGGCAAAGGGTAGGATTGCATTCCCCGCCCCCATCCATGTGACTTGCTTTTGTTAACAAGTTGTGAGCTGATGGGATAGAGGTCACTTCTGGATGAAAACCTTTAAACACCATCTCCCCGCCTTCCCCACGCTGATAAGTGACCCTCCGGATGGTGGGACAGCTTCAGACTGGATGGGTCAAAACCAATGGGCATGTAGTGTGAGAAATAACCCCTTTGGGGGGCCTTTGTTAAATGCGGCCCAACCCAGCCTCTCCTGACTGAGCGATTCGGTGACATCTGCCCGCAGTCCAGACACCGCGGTTTACGAAGAGCCGATGCGGGCCCGTCGGAAGCAGAAGTGCGGTCAGTGACCACGCGGGTTCCCTGAAGGACACCAGAGGCCGTGAGGGAGGCTGAGCTCCTGGCTCAGGTGACCTGGAAGCCGACAGACAGGGTGGCTGGCTGGCCAGGGAGCTGAGCTCTGCCCTGGCGGGGTTATGTTGGGGTGCAGCAAATGGCCAGGTGGAGCCAGCCGTGGGGAGAAGGGCATGTGAGCCGAGGACCGCCCCCGGGAGCTGGGTGCACACTCTGCACAGCAGGTACATGGGCACTGTGGGGAAGAGCCTGGCGCCCAGGATGGAAAAGGAGCCCCATTCGGAGGCTGGGGTCCCAGAGGAAGGAGAGGGACGCCAGGAGGGTCAGGTCCACGGAGTCCAGGAAGGAGCCTGGGGAGCCGCGTGGGTGTTTCGCAGGAGCTCACCCGGGAGGGAAGAACAACACCGCCTCCCCCTGGACGGCACGTCGAGTCGAGGGACAGCACTTGACCACATTTATTACCAGTTCTTTTCTGACAAAAGTAATATTGTTGACATAGAAATTAGGAAAACACCTATCAGCACAACAAGCACAACAGAGTTCTGTAAAATGGCACAGCCACCAACGGTATCTGGTATGTGTTCGGTCCTTTTTCCGGGACACACACTCCCCAGCAGTGCATGTGACAAGCTGGGCCCACGCGCTGCGCCAGCTCTTGCTGTCCGCGCACCAGGTCAAGGCTGTTGCCCCCCGACATTCACCAGACTGCACGCGGCTAACTCCTTACCGTGGAGTACCCCAAAGCCTAATGTGCCCTAAGAGAGGGAGGGTTTTATCTGACCGGGTAGGAGGGGCTTAAGAGTGTTTCCATCTGCGGGAAACCCCAGCGGAGCTGGAGAGGGGAGGGCCTGGGGGGCGGGGAGGGGGACATGGAAGGCCCAGGTCGGGGAGCCTCGGCCATTCTGAATGAGTACTGTACTTCCTTGTCCTAGAGCACATTTTGAAAGGTCTCATAAAGCATGCTCATACTAAGAGGCTGAATAATTTCAAAAAGTGTAAAGAAAAGGAGTTTCATGTCATCTTAGCTGTGGGAACATACTTTCTTTCCTGTAACGATGGCAAAACTCATGCATGTATCTGTCTACAGGAAAACACTAGCTACTGAAAAATGCTGCTGAAGCCCAGTTATACCTGTGGTTCTGACAGAAAAGCTGATCGGGAAATGAGTCGGGAAGGGGTGAGATGGGGTAAAAGGAGTCCAGGGGGGTGTCAGGCCTGCCCCCCCCATCTCCAGACCAGCTCAGCCAAGGGACAGTGCCTTGTTCTGGGGCCCAGGTGGTGGGGAGACCCAGCACACCCCTGCTGTTGCCTCGCTAAGGGGCGAGTGCTAGCAGACCAGGAGGCCCAGCTGCTCCCTCGCCCTGGAGACAGCCCGCAAGGAGTGTGCAGGGGTTCCCGGTGCTGGGCAGTGACCCTGGGTCATCCCGTCATCCCTGCCTCCTAGGAGTTCACAGCTCAGGAGAGAGGCTCACATAGGTTAGCCCCTAAAACCGCATCCCCTTTCGGAGTGTCTGTCTTCACAAGTACCTTGTTTGAACTTGCTGGCCCTCGACTCCAGGGCTCTTACACAATATAGGGGAGAGGTGCAGCCTTCTGTCCCATCCCTTGGGATGTGACCATGTCATGGCTTCTCTTTTTGTAATGCTCGCATGTGTAAGAGAAACCCCTCTGCCCCTTGGGTACAGTACCCTGTGCCTGCCCGCAAACTCCCCCACCTGGGAGAAGGGCGCTCCCTGTCTCTGGCTGCTCTCCATTCAGGCTGGCGGTGGGGCAGGCTGAGGAGAAAGGAGGGTGGACCGGGAGCTGGGGGAAATGAGCCAGGTTCCAGCGCAGAGCAGCGCGGAGAGGGGCCAGGCCAGTTGTGTCTGCCTCCCGCCCTGGGGACCAAGGTGACTGTCCTGTGCCCTGGCCTTGTTTTTAAAGGCCTTTCTATAAGCAGCTCACTGATTCACATAATAGGTAACTCAACAGATAATAAGATTCCCTTATCTTTTATACAAAACTCTTTATGAAACTGAGGTTGGCTCAAAGAGCTGTCCTAAAATGTAAATAAGTTACTAGCATCTTTTAAGGGCCCCTGCCGGGCACTGCCCTACCTGGAGGATGGCAGCCCCTCCTGCCTCGCAGACCATCTGCAGTTGGCTTTCTTCCCTCCAACCGCCACGCCACGCCACGCCAAGTGCACAAAGGCAGCCATCCCGGGGGAACAGGCTCCCCTGTCCAAACAGCCCTTCCAGGAACCTTGCTCTAGGGCAGCTGAGGGCCTCAGGACAAAGACCCCCCAACTGAGGGTCATTTCCAACCAGCAGAGCTAAGCCCAGGCTCTGCAACGGTTGACTGCGTTAACCTCTGGGCCACCACCTACACCACGGGCGTCTTCCCAGCTTCTCCACTGCCGTCGGTCTCAGTCACCTATGAACCGGCATAGCAGCCGGAGTCCGTCCATCACAGACACGGGCACTCAACGGCACCAAGGGGCACAAAGCCAGGGCGGCCTAGACTCGCCACCTCAAATGACTCGGAAACTCCTCCCAGCAGAGACCCAAGAGGTTTAGGCCTCGGCTTTGGGCCTGCACGGGGTGGGCGCCTGGGTCCATGGGGAGCAGGCAGGCCCGAGGGGCCATCGTGCTCTGGTTTGTGTGGGGAGGGCTGCTGGCTGCTTGCCCTCAGTGGGGGGATCTGAAACAAACGGAGAAGATTGTACCTCGGTGTCACCTTTGGTCTCAGCGAACACGGACAGAACCTGCCAACCCTGAGTGCACTGCCACCCACGCTCTGGGCCACTCCCTGCAGGCTGCGGCCCTCACTCCACCTGGACACCTCCACCAGATTCCACAGGCGTGACTGACCCCGTGATTTCATCCACAGAAAGCCGCTCACTGGCCAGGGCACCTCCCCACCCCTCCCCTGGCCTCCTCCTTCCAAATGGCTGCCCCACTTCCAAAAAATGCCTGCAAGCCCCAGGACTTCTAACTGGCACCTCCTTTGGGCCCCGGAGCCTGGGGATACCTCTCGGTCACCCAGGTTCCATTGAGACCAGGTCCCCCTGGTGCTCGCCTGGGACAGTGCAGCTGCCCTCTCCCCGGTGAGCCTACTGCCACTCGGGCCCGAGATCCAGCCTCCTCCGCAGGGTCACTCCCAATGCCAACCGATCCTGCCACCCCCCTACTTTAAACGCTTCACCTCACCCGGCCAGTGTGGCCCACTGGTTGAGCATCGACCCACGCACCAAGAGGTCGCGGGTTCGATTCCGGGTCAGGGCACATGCCCAGGTTGTGGGCCCGATCCCCAGTGGGAGACATGCAGGATGTAGCCAGTCACTGTTCTCTCTCATCGATGTTTCTCTCTCTCCCTCTCCCTCTCTCTCTGAAATCAACAAAGAAAACATATTTTTAAAGATAAATAACCCCTTCACCTCTGCCAACAGCAATAGCAATAACTACTGAGACCCCGTCTCATGCATGCCCACCACATGTCCAGTCCTATGCCAGGGGGCTCCAAATCCTCACAGAAAGCCAAAGAGGAGGTGAGGATCACCCCTGGGGACTAGGTGAAAAGGCCAAGGCCCACACTTTTCAGGATATGGTCCAACCCTCGTCACTGGAACAAGGTCCTTCTTGCTGCAATCGGTGTGCAGAATTCTGAGAGCAGCAGTATCACTGGGCCATGGTCACAGCGCACACTTCAGGGTCCCACCGTGAGCCTAGGATTCAGCAGGTCTGAGTCCACATGACGCCCCGCCAGGCCTCCAGAAGCCCTGCCTCGCACCCCAATCCGCGCCTCAGCTCCTCCCCATGCTGCAGGAGCCCAGAGCTACTTCCTTGAGGCAATGCAATGCTCTTTGACACTCCTGACCTGGACCCGGCCCCTCGGCCCCTCGGCTCTCTCCACCCAATCTGGGCTCAATCTGGCGGGTCTCCTGTCTCCCTGGACCCCACAGCCCCCTGTGCAGGTAGGCCTTGGTCAGCTCTCAGCAGACATTCCAGCACCTCTGATTTCTTCAGCTGCCCCACATAAGACAGGGCCCCTGCACTAACAGGTCAGCTCTTGTCACCGATTGGGTGCTCAACGATGGCTCTAGAATGGCGCACAAGGCCTCCTCAGAGGAAGGGAATGCCCATCGGACCCACGCAAACCATATACCTAGAAGTGGGGAGCAGACGCGTCACCACTCGAGAACACAGCTGGGAGCCTAAGGACTGCAGCCACCGGATGTCATCAGGAATGTCAGGGAGCCACATCACCAGTCTGCAGAAGGAAATGCCGTCACTCACTGTGTCAGCAGGGACCTGCCAAAGCAAAGAGGACCCAACGGAAGCCGAACGAAAGGCAGCTTGCGGACCTGTCGATCCCAACCCGACAAATTCCCAGAAGGCGGATTTGGAGTAAGCCGGCCTAAGAGCCCCAGAGGTAGGCCCCTTTTGAGTTAGGAAAGCTCTTTAAAAAGAAAGAAAGAAAGAAAGATATATATACACACACGATTTTTTTTTTTTCAGAGAGAGAGAGAGAGAAGGGAAAGAGGTAGAAACATCAACATGAGAAACATCCATCGGCTGCCTCCTGCACGCCCCCTAATGGGGATCGAGCCTGAAACCCGGGCCTGTGGACGCTAAAGGGATTTATACACAAAGCAAAGGACAAGGCTGGTTTTCCAGGATTGTTCTTCTCCGTGGCAAGATGCCCGAAACTTGGAATTGAGACATCACCCCCTCCACCCAGCCCGCCAGCTTGGCTACAAGTCCAGTAGAGGAAGCTGACCACTGCCCTCCACAAACTCCAACCCCCCAGGACACAGAAAGTATCCCACGCCTGGGCTGTGATGAATGCCTGAACCTCCACCCAGGGCAAGGTGGTGTGGGGACAGGGGGCTAATGCAGTAGGGAAGGGACCTGGACAGGCTTATCAGGACCTGGAGAATGGAGCTGGGTTTTGAAGGGTGAATTGTATTTTGAAAGATGGACTGAAGGACAAGCTCGATTAACTCACTAAAAAGAAAGTAAATCCCCGAATCCATGTGAAATGAATGCCCAGGATTCCAGTGGAGACACTATACCACCCAGAACGCTCACCGCCGGACCCCAAAGACCGCGGACTCCACGGGCAGCGTGAAAGGCAGCATCAAGTAAGACATGACCTTCACCGGCATGAAGTCGCAAATCTTGGTCATATAGCCACTTTGGCTTTTACCTGCCGTTCTCAGTGCTGAAAAACAGAATTTGGGGGGGGGTGTTTCCCACCAGTGTAAAAACGAACCTCCCCTACGCAGGTGGTGCTTGGACTTTCAGTGAAATACACAAATCCTGGCGGCCACAGAATCGGAAGCATTCACCACGATCAAGGGGGGAGTTTGGCCGGGACAGCCCTGGGACAGCCCGTGGCACAGGGCTCTCAGCTAACAACTCTCTGTCCCATTGGCAGGTCCTTCAGGAGGAGCACACCAACTCCGTAAACACCAACCCGTCTTCTGGCTTTCCTGACTCCTTCAGCGGGGCCCCATCTCCTGCTGCCTGGAGCCCCCGGCCTTCTGTTTCCCCTTTGTAATGACCTCATGTTGCCTCAAAGCACAGTGACCCGGGCAACAGCGTCTTGTTCATCTTTGAATTTCTCCCAATGCCAAACTGGAAGCCGGTGTATGCACTTGTGCCCATCTGGTGTTTGACGACACGATAAAAGATACTGCCGTCGCCCTGGCCGGTTTGGCTCAGTGGATAGAGCATCGGCCCGCAGACCAGAGAGTCCTGGGTTTGGTTCCTGCTAAGCGCACGCACCTCAGTGGCAGTTTGTCCCCGCTCTGGTTGGGGTCGTGTGGGTGGCAGCCACTCGATGTGTCTCTCACATCAACATTTCTCTCTCTCTCTCTTCCCCGCTCTCTCCCTCCTGCTCTACCTGAGGATATATGCAAAAGTGTCCTCAGGAGAGGGTAAAAAAAGACACTACCGTTGTTCAATGAAAAATTCAAAACTGTGTGTTTGGGAAAGGGGGGAATCAGGACAGGCTCCTGGAGAAAGATGGGACCCAGGCAGAGAACAGTGTTCTGAAAGAAGGGGCCCACACTTGAGGCTCCCATAATCCAGTGTCCCTAGACCCCAGGAACTGACAGCATGCCCGGTTAACTCAACACGGGCTCAACTGGAGTTCGACTTTTCTGGCCAAACACACATGGGAAGGGAGACTGTGCAAGGCGTGTGGGTGCAGAGAGGCTGTGCCAGGAGGTGGTGGCCTCATCTCCTGCCCCAGGGCAGCCTCACTGTCCTCCCTCCCACACGGGGGAGAAGCCCTTTCCGTCAGTAACAGAAAGCAACGTCCTCGCCATTCCGCCCCCGAGGAGTCGGCACCTGTAATGAGGCTGGGCGACAGAATCTCCAGGATGCTCTCGTCCCAGGGCAGGAGGTTGAGACGCAGGTGGTCCAGCAGCTCATCTCCCACAGGCCTCGTCTGCCGGGCAGCCTCCCCTTCGGAAGCCTCCAGCTCGTGGTTTTCCCAGGTGAAATGCGAGACATCCGGCTCTCTTGAGGAACGGTCCGGGCATGGATGGAGCCTGTCACAGATCCCTACAAATGGCACGGAGACAAACCTCAGTCCGAGCAGCAGGCGAGGATGGACAAGGCAGGAGATGCGGGTCGTCAACTGAGAAGAGAGAGGCGAGGGATCATTCGAACAAATGGGCTACTGGGTGAGGCGGGCTCCTGGCTCCTCACTGCCACGCCAACAGCGCTGTGTTGTTCCACAGCCATGTGTGGAACTGGCCCGAGGGTTGAAAAGAGGAGGAGGGCAGCGATCGTATAACAACAGGCACCATACCGCCCTCTGGCTGAGCCTGCGCCCAGCTGATCTATAGTAAGATACACTGTGCCTGCAGGCTGCGTCTACCAGCTGATCTATACAACAGCCCGCGCCCCTGGCTGAGCCTGCATCCAGCTGATATGTACCCAGGCCTGCGCTGCATGCTGCATCCCAGCTGCTCTAAGTAACAGCAGGCACTGTGCCGCTGGCTGAGCCTGCATCCCAGCTGATCTGTAACAACCGCAACCGCGCCGCGGCTGAGCCTGCGTCCATCCGCTGATCGTAACCACAGCAAGGCTGCGTCCCAGCTGATCTATAGTAAGAGACACTGTGCTGCAGGCTGCATCCCAGCTGATCTGTAACACCAGGCACCACGCCTCTGGCTGAGCCTGCGTCCCAGCTGATCTGTAACACCAGGCACTGCGCTGCAGGCTGCGTCCCAGCTGATCTATAACAACAGGCACCGCGCCGCTGGCTGAGCCTGCATCCCAGCTGATCTGTAACAACAGGCACCACGCCTCTGGCTGAGCCTGCGTCCCAGCTGATCTGTAACACCAGGTACTGCGCTGCAGGCTGCGTCCCAGCTGATCTATAAGAACAGGCACCGCACTGCTGGCTGAGCCTGCGTCCCAGCTGATCTGTAACAACAGGCACCACGCCTCTGGCTGAGCCTGCGTCCCAGCTGATCTGTAACAACAGGCACCATGCTGCTGGCTGAGCCTGCGTCCCAGCTGATCTGTAACAACAGGCACCATGCTGCTGGCTGAGCCTGTGTCCCAGCTGATCTGTAACAACAGGCACCATGCTGCTGGCTGAGCCTGCGTCCCAGGCCCTGAGCTAGAGACTTCGCAGTCAGCCTTGCAGCAGCCACTCAGCTGGCCCCACCGCCAGCACCTCCCCCACTCTACCTGCAGCGCTGGAGGCCCGGACAGGTGAGGAGGTCCACCCACAGGCACACAGCCAGTCTGCGGCAGAGCGGGGTTTGAACCCGGGCCCTCCTCCACCACGGGACCCTGAAAGCAGCATTAGGCACAGGAGTTTGTGTGGGCACTGCCCCAGGAGGCCGGGCACGGTGCCGACACCGGTGAGTGGTTCCTGCTCTCCTGGAAATGGCCCACAGGGTGGGGGCATGGGGACAGCGACTTCCAGAGGCCCTGAGCCGCCCTGGCTCACGTGTTTCTTCCAACCTCGGGTTAAAAAGACCGGGAGTTGCTCCTGGATGCCCCACCATGCTCCCCAGGTTAGACCTCCCATGTATGCTTCTCGCTAGATCTTTCCGGGGCCTCCATTAGACACACCGGTCACCCTCTGGGACTTCACTTGGCCTTAGGTATAGAATCTGTTCCCAGAGCACACCTGGCCTGTCCCACGTGTCCTCTGCAGGATGCCAGGGACCAGCCGGGCTGAGGACCACGTACATACTTAAACCCAAACCTAGCACCAATGATGCAAGCGCTCGGCCACACACCAGTCTTCAGAATGACTGAGAATCACCTGGACGTCACTGAATCAGAATTCTCCTTAGTATAGATACGGAAACAGAGGCCCAGAGGGCGAGCTGGCTGGCCCAAAGCTACAGAGGAACCCGAGCGCACCCCCACAGGGCCCGTCACCGTCATTTAGTCCCAGGTCCCCCGATTTCAGCCCCATCCAGACTGCTCTCCAGAACTTCGGACCCTGACATCGGCTGCTGCCTTGTACAAATGCCCCTGGGGCCCCGCACACCCACTGGAACCCCTCAGCTCTCCTGCAAACCCTCTCCTCCCTCCCGCATGCCCTGAGCCTGGGGGCCGAGCCCTGACTCTCCCCACCCAGCTCCTGAAGCCAAAGCCAGTGCTCAAGTCTTCCTCTTCCTGAGTCTCTGGTCAGCCACTTCCAAGTCCTGCTCCTCTGGTCCCTTCCACTCTCCTCACTGCCTGACAGGACCCAGCCTCTGGCTGCCTCACTGGCCAGTTGGACGCTGGTCCCGCCCACTCTGCACGGCAGCCAGAGGGACCTTCCAAAGCTCCCCTTCCAGGGCTCCCTACTGCTACAAACTCTCCTCTCATCCACAGGCCACAGGCCCTCTTTCCATTCTCTTATTCATCCCCAAAGTGTCAGGCTGGAGTCACCGTCTCCTGGAAGCCCCCCTTTCCCCCATATGAGCCCTCCTGCGTGACCTGTAGCGCCCTGCCCCTTCCCGCCAGGCGCTCTGCACAGCACCTCCACCGCTGGCCGCACTCCAGGAGGAGGGCCGCAGCTGTGTGTCCCTGCATTGCCCCGGCACACAGCCACCTGCTTGGCACCTGAAAGTGCACAGTAAACACTCTCTGAGTAGATGACACGTGTATCCTACTAACCAGGAGCCACCTTTCAGTACTGAAGAGAAACAGCTTCAACGCACCTGATGTTTGGTTCCACTCTAATATCTCAGGCGTCAGCCAGGGGACCCAAAGCTGGAACGCGTTCCAGAAAGGACAGCGGTCCAGGGGGCGTCACCGACACCTAGTTGGGGTCAGCTCTTCTGATGCTTTACTTGGGGCCCTGACCCAGAAACCCTGGTTAAAGTTCTTCTGGAACGTAAATGGAACCACCTTCCGATAGGTGACACTAAGCAAGGAGAGCGCCCTGGAGCTTGGACATCCCGGCTTCAAACCCCAGCTCTGCCCCTCGGTGGGTGGAGTGGGGTCCCTGGCTCGCCTCACCAAGCCTCCGTCTCCCCCTCTGTGAAATGGGGCTGAGCTTTCCTGTGCGGCGGGGCTAATGAGTGTGCTGAGCACAACGGAGGCCAGGCGGTGAAGGCCCCGCACACCCGCTCCCTGGCCGGGTGAAGCCACTCACAGAACCTCAAGTCCGCTAACAAAAAGCTGATGAGAGGGTCTGGTCTGCTCCCCAGCCCATACATACCCTTTTCTTCCAAGAACCTGACCGCATCCAAATACCCTCGAAGGCAGATCTCTCCAAGCACCTGTGAAGAAACAAGGAATTAACTACAGGAAGGTGTCGCTAAGCGCCATTTATTTCAAGCACAGACTTCCAAACTCTGAGCCGCTTCCAGGTGCCGAGCATGGCCGGACATGGGACTCTGTGCCCAGGAGACAGCACTCCCCTTTCCTGCGGGATTCGGTACGAATGATACCCCTCCACGGAGCCTTTGCAGTCATCCAGCATGACAGGGACTGTCCTACTCATCACTGGGATAGTTAACAGCTTCCTCCTCTATGGGTGTGAGAACAAATCAGGCTTGCTGACCTGCTGTTGCACAGCCTTGCCTCCAGGGGGAGCACATGCAGGGGTGCACACTGCCCCCGCAGCCTCCTTGGTCCTTCAGTCCACACTTCTTACTGTTGGGCTGCGGCAGCCACGGTGCAGTGAGCTGGTGTAGTTCATGACTTTGGCCACAAAGAAGATGCTCTGCGCAACTCAATCACACTCTACTGTCCGGGCTGCACCAAGACCACCGTCCTGCCCTAGACTCCTCGGGGATGGTTCCAGGACCCCTCTCCATGCCAACGTCCACAGACACTCTGGTGCCTTATGTAAATGATGTAGGATTTGCACATTGGCTGCGGCAGAGCACACCACTCACCATGCTGTTCGTGGGGATTCAGCAAGGGCTCGGCGAGTGGCAAATTCAAGTTTTGCCTTTTGGGACTTCCTGGGATTTTCTATTTCGTATGTTTTTGATATGTGGTTGGTTGAACCCAAGGATGCCTGACTCTGCAGGAGCGACACCTGTGGACAGGGAGGGCTGACTGCACTAACACTGCAGCCCTGGAAGAGGGACCCGAGGGGCAGTGCAGTTTAATGTACCCGGTGATTCTGACGATCAGAGTGGAGTGGTGTGGACCTCTGGGGACGAGGGACCCTTCTCAAAGTCCCGATTCAACGAGGACTCTGCTCCGGTTTGTTTGCCTAGAGAACCACCTGATGGGTCTCCAGGCAGTCTGAAGCAAAAAGCTGCACCCCCAGAACACGCAGCCCCTCACACTCACCTTCATGTCCAGAGATAAGAGTGCGTGGCTGATCAGGAAAATGTTTTGTGAGCAGAGGCGCACACTCAGCTGGTTATAATCCAAAAAAATGAAGTTCACGTTCTTATTCCTGGGGCAGATGTCGTATTCCCCAAAGAAAGGCGACACAGTGATGGTTGTTTTGGAATCAAAGAAGGGTAGACTGTTACTCATTCCTCCATCTACATATCGCTTTTAAAGGAGAAAAAAAGCACATCCTGTCAGAAGCTCTGGGCTGGTGTCTTACATGTTTTGCAGATTACGGGCAGAGGCTCCTCAGAGCCGCAGGCTGATCCGGGGGGGACACGGGGCTTGGGGATCCCTCTGTCCACAAATCCTCAGCTCCAGGCTGGCACTCAGGGCTGCTGTCACTGTTGTAAAGGGCGTGCACTGCACAGCAGGGTCTGGCAAAGAGGCAGAGGCTGCCATCCGCCCACACTGCGCTGGCCAGGTCCTGAGCCCAGGTAGGTGTGCTCACGTAATTTGCATAAAGAGGCCACACAGAGCAGGGTAGTATGTACACTAGGGACAGACCCTGCCCTAGAGGAGAGAAAAGGTCATGGGTTCAGTGCCAGAGCCCCCTGCTGCTTGGGAAATCTTGGACAACATACCTAACCTGTGAGCTCATCTCTCTCCACACCTTCAAAATGAGAACCAACAACTCAAGGGACTTTGGAAACTTAAGTGAAACAGTGAAGCTGGGTCCCAGACGACCCCCAGTAAATGACCTCTTATTCCACAAATAGTGGCCTTTGGGCTCGGTTACCATGAGCTCCGGCATCCACATCTTTCCACCAACTTCGGCTGGCCAAGCAAGTGTTGATACAGTTTGGACAGTCTGCACCTACCAAACCAATGCCAGGGGCATTCTCACTGTTGTGACAACCTAAACTGTCTCCAGACTTGGCTGATGTCCCGGTGTGGAGGACCGGATCATCTCCAGTTGAAAACTGCTGCCCTAGACAGAGCCACCTGCAGGACAAACACCTCCTCTGCTGTCTCTCTGTCCGCACTGGGCTCAGATTAGCCACATGTGTTCACATATCTGTGGAATGGACCCAAACAGAAGCCCTGTCGGCAGCTCTTCCCCAAACCTAAAATGACCGTCAGTCCCAGAGACGCCTGACACGCTCACCCCTAAGAATAAGGCTCTACCTTAAGCAAGCTGCCAAGTCTTCAGCATGCTACACTTGAACTAGGCCCCTAGGCACCTCTCCTGGATACTCATGTGAAGATTAAGTGAACCAGCTTACCTTACAGGTAGCCAGATAATGGTCATGAAGTTGGTTCTGCTGGGGGAGGGGGAAGGCGGGGGCAGCTATGAAATCTCTGTCTGATGGTGAGAGATAACACTGTGCATTTGGGGGGGTCCTAGGGTGCCTGAGCCTAGCACCTCGAGGGCAGGATCTATGCAAATACAGTATCAAAGCAGACTTACCACACCTCTGAAGGTCGGTGGGATTATGCCAAAGAAGTAAGGGATGAAGGAGGAACACAATAAGGCCTGTGAAGACACAAGGGAGTAAAGACATGGGTGGAAGGGATCGGCCCTTTATCCCTGGGGGCAATGAGTCTGCACGTGCTCTTTGCACAGAGTAGGCACTTTAATAAACAGACTGAATGAATGTTGAACCAACCACACAACCGCATTTCACACTTAAGTATAAGCACCTTAACAACACCGTGTGTGCACATCCACTTCCTGTCCCTGCACCCCAAGAGACATAGTGGGCCATCGCTGACAGGATCTAGAGCGGTGGACTTGATCACTGACTGGGAGGGAGGAGATCAGAGCCACAGCTTGTTGACTCGCAGACTCTGGACCCCAGCCCGGGATTCTGATGCAGCAGGTTGGAGGTGGGCCTCAGAGTGCAATTCTAACAAGCTCCCAGGTGATGCTGCCGCGGGTCCAGGGACCACACTTCGAACAGCACCGTGCTAGAGAGCACCAAGGAGGACAGGATGCTGATGCACAGACAGAACGAACTTGTGTGGGAACGGACAGGGACTGGCTGGCTAGGAACAAACTCCCAGAAATAAGGTTAATGAAAGATGATACTGGCTGCTGAGGTACTGCTGGTTCTATGGGCCAGCCTGCTCTCTTACACAGTTAAGTGAAATATTGTCCATTTAACCCTCATAAAAGGCATCAGCCAAATTCAATGGTATTTTGATATTGTAAACCATCTCCACTGTGTTAGGGCCTAAGGACAGAGGCCAATAAGACATGCTCCCAGCCCTGGATGGTTTGGCTCAGCAGTTGGAGCATCGGCTCAAGGACCAAAGGGTCGAGGGTTTGGTTCCCAGTCATGGGTGCACACCTGGGTTGCAGGTTGGATCCTCAGCTCCAGTGGGGTCATGAGGGAGGTAACCAATCAATGTGTCTCTCTCACATCAATGTTTCTCTCTCTCTCTCTTTCTCTCTCTCTCTCTCTCTCTCTCTCTCTCTCTCTTTCTCTCTCCCCCTCCTTACTTCCCTTAATCTGTCTAAAAAATCAGTGGAATAATATCCTCAGGTGAGCATTAACAACAACAAAAAAAGACATGCTCCCACCTCTTGTGGCCTCACTCAAGGTGTCTTCGTTAAGGAGCATGCATTGTTTGGAAGAGGGACACCATAGGACAGGGTCCCTGGGTAAGGTGGCCCTGAGCCAAGCCTGGAAGGATGGGGAGGCATTATTTAAAACTGAAACTGTCTTGGAACATGCAGGGTTTCATGTGCTATGGACCAGACCACTGGGGCAGAGTTTATGTCACTGTGGTGCAGGAAGCAAAGAGCATCATGGTCAACCAAGTTCTTCTGCATCCTAAGAAATGGGGCAGGTGGCCTGTGACAGCCCTCTCTGTGTTACTTCCAAAATGAAACAGCCTTTCTTATTTGACAATACCCAGATAGGCCCACTGCTTACGTCCACGACTTCGTCTTTGGACTGAAAATCGGACACCAGGACGTTCTGCCAATCGGACACTCTGGTGAGCGAGATGCACACTTTGCCGGAGATGAGCTTGTGGATATTGGCTGGGAGCCATCTTTGGAGGAATTCTTGGATGAGCCTGATTATGTTGCAGGACGGGTGGAAGATGCCAATGTTCCGGTTTCTGGCACAACGGACAATGTTTACCATGCTCTGCAAAACCTGTTCTGTGGGTGTGGGAGATAAAAACATAAAGGAAATGTGCCACTCTAGAGATGGGACTGATCTGTAGCAGGACAGAAACCGGAGACAGGGAAGCTGTGTTCTCACGTGGTTACAGAGCCCTTCTAATGGGGTTCGGCCACACTAAACTGTATTTACAGATCTCAACACAGAGTCCCAAAAAGAATGCAAAGTATCGCAATACTCTTCCCCATCCATTAGATGTGGAAATGATACAGTTTGGTGACACTGGGGTCGATAAAATTAATGTCACTTGTGTCTTATACTTTCATTGCAACCTGCTCCCAGGAAATGTGAAATGACATCTGTGGCTTATGCTACATTTCTAGTGGATGGCGCTGCTCCCGGGGCCGAGCCTCCAGAGGCCCAGGGAGCTCTTCTCAAAGCATCCCCCACAGAGCAGAGGCCAGAGCGTCCTGGGCATTGGCGTGTGTGCAGGAAGGGCCAGCACCAGAACTGGAGCCTGCCTCCACCTCTTTCTAGCTGAGTGACCTCAGTAGGTCACTTCACTCCTCTCCAAGTCTCAGACGATGCGCTCTGAATGTGGGGCTGTGTTTCTACCTTCTGGAGACAGGATGAGATCCACTACAACCTCCAAGGCGCTCAACTCAGAGGGGGCACCTAATAAATAAATAACTAGACGTAACCTTCAACCTCTACCGCCAGAAGTACGAGACAGTCTATGGGCACGGGGCATATTCATGCTCCATCTGACCTCGCTCCCTAGCCTGGCCCCCTCTGGCTGCCCAGTGCTGCCCTGGCACGCAGGACTACCTGCCCCGGCCCAAGGCCCAGCCGGTCATAATTCCTGCAGTGCAGAAAGCCAGCCATGCCCCTGTCCTGAACCGTTGAAGACGTCTACTCTGCTCTTCCTACCGGCGTGGCCCCACTGAGCCCAGGCAGAAAGGGCAGCCGTGTATACAGCTGGTAGGCCCGCCAGGCTCTCCTCGGCTAAGATGCACTGTCAGAACCTCTGCCCAAGTCGCAGCCCCTGGGAAATGTTCCTTGGAGGTCCCCACATGAGCCAGGAGGTTAAAGCAACAATCTGGGGAACAGCTCCTGTCAGAACCTCTAGACCCACTTTCAGGGACTTGGTGGTCCCGGTGCTTTCTTCCTGCGCTGCACCTGTCCTCTGCCAATCAGGACCCCCACACTGAAGCCAGGGCACTTCACTCAGGTCCTGGTGTCACTGCATCGGAACCTAGTCCTGATTAAACGTTCACCCATGTGGGTCTTTTATCACTGCTATAGCCCGGCGTGGGCGGACTGGCCATGTAGCCAGTGGAATCCTCCCTGAGGTCACAGTCCTGCCCTTTGCTCCCCTGTGCCTAGAAGAAGGCAGTGGGTGGCCTCCAAGTCCTACCTCCCAGTAAGCCCAGAGTCTGCTCCAATGGCAGGGCTGAGCCTACTGTCAGGAGACTCCTGGTCACCAGGAGCAAAGTAGCCCCCTGCTGGCCATGTCAGACAGGTAGAGTAAAGAGTAAATGTGAAGGAATCCCAGATAAACTGGGGCTGATAAGGTGCGTTATCTGGGGAGCTTTAGGTGCCATCAGCTCCACACTACCACTTGTTCCCAGCTCCACCCATTGACTCGGAACCCGGCCACGGACGCTCTACCCTACGCACAAGCCCCACGTCCGTCCCTCCCACTGGCATCCAGGTGCACAGACGTTAACTAGGAGAACAGGCAGTGGATGGCATTTCCAGTGGCACTGAGTGGGGTGTGGGGGAGGTGAGCGTGGCATGTGGGGCATGTCCAGGGATCCGCTCTAGCCCTGAAACACTGGAAAAGGAGAGATTACCTTCGTACCCCTCCTCCATATACACAGCAGCCCCCCACCCGCCACCCACCTGGACCCCACACCAGCAAGTCTGCCCAGGAGGACTCCAAAGAGTTACCCTCTGCCCGAGACGCATCCAACCCCGGGCGGGCTGGGCCGCACCAAAAGCGCCCAGAGGGGCAAGGGAGATGGTGTGGTATCTCCAGTCCCTTAAGTCCCCAAAAGGAAGAAGGCGCCCACCCTGGGTCACAGGCCAAAGCCCCTGCCCGGGCCGGTCGGACCCAGGGCAGATCGGCCCTTCGGTCGGCAGCTCAGCTCGCCCAGCGCCTCCAGAGCGCACGGCGGGGACTGCCCGGCCGGGACCAGCTCCACCCCCCGCCTCCCGGCGCGTTCTCTTCCCCGGTCGCTCCGGGAAGACAAGGCTCTCAGTGCCGGGGAACCGGGGCTTCCTTCAAGCCCGGGCGCCAGACGGGCGTGGGGGTGAGGCGGCGCTCGTGGTTCCCCCGCCCAGAGGAGGGCCCCCCAGACGCGACCCCTCGGAGGCGAAGGGCGCCGTGGAGGAGGATCTGACTGAGGAGGCCCCCGGGAGGTACCCTGCGCAACCCGCGTGCAAACTCGGATCCACCAGACGTCCCGCACCCTCAGGTGTCTCCCGCAGCCCACGCCCGGGGACGCCCCCTCCCGGCAGGGAGCCCGGCAACGCAACGGCCCGGACGTACCGAGCGGGATGCCGGCGAGGAAGGTGACGCAGTGCAGCGCCCCGGCCGAGGACCCGAAGATCATGCGAGCGTTGCAGAGGAGCTGCGGGGCGCGCTCTTGCAGGCAGTGGGTCACCCCGATGTGATAGGAGCACAGGAAGCCGCAGCCCGAGAAGCACAGGCTCCAGCCGTGCTCGTGATCGTCCATGGAGGCGGGTCGGAGTCCGGGATGCGGGCTCTGAGGTCCGCGGTCAGCGGCACACCCAGGCTGGATAGCGGCGGGCTCTGAGCAGCCCCAAGCATCGCCCAGGTAGTTCCTGCGTGACCTCACCCGCTGGCCCCGCCCCCTGGGACCAGGGGGAGGAGCCGGCGGGTGGTCCAAGCTGGGGCATGACGTCCACCTCTCCCTCCTGGGACGGGGGTGGAGGCGGGCAGACCTGCGCCCGCGGGAGTTGGGACAGTTTTCCGTAATTCCCAATGACTCAGACGTCCTGGAAAGAGACAGGTCCCCATTCCATTCTTCTTCATCCCTTAAATTGGGGAGAAGGTAACAGTTGCCCAGTTAGGTCCTTTATGTCTCTTTGACACTTTATCATTTCCCATTTTTACATGCATTAAGCAGGTACCACCATCTAAATAAAATATATATACTGTTTTTGCTTTGATGTCTTGCAGTTTTGTGTATGATGTCTTCAATTCATGGCAAATGGTAGAGACTTTTCATTTCATGATAGTGACATGCAGCTTCCATTTCAGAGCTTTACTTCCAAGTGAAAATTGTGAGTAACGGGTGTTGGGTGTTGGGGGGCAGTGTAGAAATGTGGGGTTTTGGGAGTATTCCTGCTGCCGCTGGGAAGTGGCCAAGATGCCCCTTGACCATCAATGAGAGAGAGACACATCGATTGGCTGCCTCCCGCAGGACCCCACCAGGGCTGGGGATTGAACCCGGTCCAAGGCACATGGTCTTGACCGGAACTGAACCCAGCGACCCTTCAGTCTGCAGGCTGACGCTCCAGCCACTGAGCCAAACTTGCCAGGGCAACTCTGCCTTCTTGTTTTCACTCTCCTTCCTGTGATCTCCTTGCTTATGTATTTAGCTCACATTCTTTGCTTTTAAATGGTGACGTCGCTGTTTACTGTGGCCCCCAAATGTAGTGCTGAAGGGCTATGCAGGGTTCCCAAGCGCAAGGAAGGGACTGCAAGGTGCCCCGGAAAAAATGCAGAAGCTGGATGAGCTTCCTCCAGCCACAGTCATAGTGCTGCTGGCTGTAAGTTCACTGTGAATGAATCTTCAACAGATATAAAATAAGGTTTCTTTAAACAGCAAACACACACAAGTCTGTGTATGGATCGGTTGACTAAAACTGTTGTAGCCAGAAGCTCCCAGGAACCGAACCCTGGTCCTCTAGGACTGCCGATTCAGAATTCACTAATGAAGCGGTGACTTGATAGAAGGGAACTCATGAGACTAAGGATTTCCTCACAGGGAAGCAGGTCATAGAGCTGTAAAGACAGAGAGGGCCTGCGCTGACTGTGTGGGCTCAGCACGGACACAGGGTCCAGGGAGGCTCCCCCACCCCCACTCACTGCCTCCCTGGGGTCCCTGGCAAAATAAGAGCAGGTGTTTCCTCCAGTTACCAAATCCCACACCTGTGGGAGGCCTTGGCTTCTCTGTCAGCCTGCCAGGTGTCTTGATTCCTTCACTGTCCTCCCCTGAGTGCCCCAGGCTGGCCTCTGTCCCTTGCACACCACACACTTTGCCCAGCCTGTCCTAACCGCAGGGACAGCCTCAGGCAGCCCCTGTCAGCCCACTGCACCCTGCCGCCCCCACCCTCGGCCCAGCTTCCCAGCTCCGGCTATAATTCACTTTGATGTGTGCGTGTGGTTCATCACACATAACATAAAAATAACCATTTTAGCCATTTTTTAAGGCACAGTTCAGTGGCATTAAGTCCATCCACGAGGTTCTACGAACATCATCACCATGTGCCTCCAAGTTTGTTTCATCTTCCGGAACAGAAACTCTGCCCCATGAGACACTAACTCCCCATTCGGCCTGGCCCAGCGCCCGCCGCCCCCACCTGCTTTTGTCTATGAATTCAGCTCCTCCAGGGACCTCGGAGAAGCGGAATGACACAGGATTTGTCCTTCTGTGACTGGCTGGTTTCACTGAGCACAGTGTCCTCAAGGGTCACCCATACTGTAGCCGGTGTCAGAATCTCCTTCCTCTTGAAGGCTGACTCATAGTCCCTTGTATGTATTGATGGGGTTCAGGACACATTACCCCAAAAGACAGCACCTTGGCATATTTTAAGCTGAAGGACTTGGTGGGTGCAGGGCTTTCTGTCCCTTCCCAGAAGCCGGTCATCAGACCCTGATATGACAGGGGCACGGCCTCTGTGCCAGGGACACCCTCCCCTGCAGGGACGGGACCAGAGAGGAATCCGAAGGAACAAGTGTTGTTTCCTCCGGTTCATGTCACCTCATTCCCTTTGTCCTGTCGTATCTCTCTCGACTCCCCACCCTTCATCGGACTCAGCACGAAAGCCCCACTGAGCTGTTTCTTCAGTCATTTGCTTAGGAAACCCCTGCGTTATGTCAAACTCACACGGAACACAGGCCTATGCTTTTCTCAGAAGTCTGTCTTTTCTTCAGGGCCAAGGGCGTAAAGGCGTCTACTAGTCAAGCACGTAAAAGTCAAGGGAAAAGGCCTTTCTCCGAGCCCTCAGTATGTAGCGCGTGCCCACCCATTCACGTCACAGCTCTTGCGTCTCCAAATGAACAACTCTCCGGCTCCGTCCACATCCCAGACGCCACTCTTGGATGCTGGTCCTCGGAGACGAAGTCCTTCTCAGCTTTGTTTTGTCCCCAAAACAGGACCCAGGATGCCCTCTGTCGTGCATGGGTTCCCTCCAGGTGTCCTGGCTCCTGGGGAAATGGACTTGGGTAACCTGCAGGGTGACACCGACAAGCCGTGCGGAAGTCAGACGGACACTCCTGGCCACGTGCCAGAGGCCATGTCGTCAGTGACCAGCATCATCCCCCTTGCCAGAGATGGTAGCTCTCTCCTGCCCAGGCAGCACCCCCCAGGGGGCCTTAATGGTGTTTATGAATCAATGAATGAATGAGTGAATGAGTGAATGAATGAATGCTAAAGTAATACCCTTTCCCCTTGTCTGTCTAAACATGAAAGTGTTAACTTTAACCCCCAGCCTCTGATTGTTTAACCTCGCCCCAAGCCCCTTATTCCAGGAAGCCAAAGCTTATCGCTCCAGCCAGGCGGAGCAGTTTCCTGAACCCCCACCCAAACCTAAACCTAGACCAGAACAACTCTCGGAAAGACCCCAGCCCCGAACAACCAAGGACGAGCGTGACTCCTTGGCAGAGCAACCCCCCACCCCAGCCCCGAGTTTAAAACCCGGAGTCTTTAGAACCGGCTGCTGCGTTCTGCTGGGAGGCAGGTATTTCCCTCAATCCACCCGCACGTCCTGCTCACTCGGCTCCATCCCGTTCTTGTAGACAGCTCCTTCAAGTTTAACCACCTTTAAGACCTACACATTTTCTTCTTTTTTTTAATCCTCACTCGAAGACATTTTTGCATTTATCTTCAGATAGAGTGGGAGGGAAAGAGGGAGGAAGAGAGGGAGAAACATCAATGTGAGAGGGACACATCGAATAGCTGCCACCCTCAGAACCCCAACCGGGGCTGGGGACAAACTGCAACCAAGATACGTGACCTTAGCGGGAACCGAACCTGGGACTCTCCAGTCCACGGGCCGACGTTCTAACCACTGAACCAAACCGGCCAGGGCCCCACACATTTCTTAACTCACCACTTCAACTATCCTTTAGCGGCTTAGGTGTTGTCTTAGATGGTTCCTCTAGAAGCCGACTGACCCAGAGACCAGGACTGGAGCTCACGTGACCCCAGGAGGCACGGTGACCCCAGGAGGCATCAGAGAGGTCAGAGAAATGAGAAGGGAAGAGGTGTCTTAGTGGGGAGGTGCCTGCTATGGGTAAGTGGGGTCAGGCCAGCTGGGGTTTTCGTGGAGAAACAAACAGCGTGGGGACGGGGGTTGGGGGGTTGGGGAAGGAAACTGAGGTGTTAGCACCTCTCATCTGCCGTCGGGCCCTGGGAGCTGCCCTCTCAGCCCCGCTTCGAGCCCACTGAGCCCAGTGGCAGGAGGTCATAGAGGAAGATGTCCTTGGGCCGGCAGGGCCACTGGGAGATGGATGGAGCACTAACAGTGGGTGAGCCTGGGGCACAGGGGGTGGGGGAGGGCAGGCAGCAGACACTTATGGAAGGGATGGCCCACGGGTGTTGTGGTCAGTGCTGTGTCTGGGGCAAGCCCTGGGGCAGAGGGCCCACCAGGCAGCCATGTAGTTTGGGGAAAGCTCCCCACGTGCTTCTTACGCCCCTCACTTTGAAATGCAATTTTAAAAATTGGAACAGTTTACGGTGTACTGAAAAGACGGATGGGTGTTTCAAAGATGCGGGTCAGTACAGAGATACACATCATGTTGCTTAAAAGAATTCTTTTATCTATTTAAAGTGACCTGGAGGCATTTGTACAAAAGGAAACGGGTTTTCCTTGAAGAGCAAGGAGACAGAACCAGTGGTAAGAACGCACAGCCAACTTCAGACATCAGTGGGGGACCCTGTCCGCTGCATACTCAGAGCAGCTCCTGACTGGAGGCGCCCGAGAGGGAGGAGGGCCCTCTGCTGCCGCCCAGCGGCTTTGCCAGGGCACAGCGGGGCAGGGTCTGCGCCCACTTCCCAGAAGAAAAGGTGGCATTGGAAACAGAAGTGCCAGGCTGATCCAGGAGGCACAACTGGGGAGACTGGGTTATCCGAGACACCTGGACAGAAACAGCTGCCCTCGTGTAAGGACTGTGGGTAACATGAGGCCGCTGGGATGGAATATCGGGCTGGACTCCACCTCTAGAGACCGCCATGTGCCGACCAGTGGTCATTCCAGCAGGAATCCCCAAGTTAGGGTAAAGAAGGTCACTTTATTCAGTGCGAAACGCAGCAGTAGCCTGGTTGCGGAACAGCTCGGGTGTGACGCAGGAGTGCGGGGAGGTGGCCTGGGCCAGGACCCGCTCTGGTCAGATGGTTTCACTCTGCTCTGCTGTGCGCCAGCCGCTCCGGCCCGCGCTGGTCGGCTCCACGAGACATGGGTCTTGCGGCCCCGGCTGGGAAAGGCA